ATGCTCAGGGAAGCCAACAAAAAAGATAAGTAACTGAAGGATTTTTTGTAACATTTATTTTTATTTTGAACAATCAATCAATCAACATAGTTGTGCAGGTAAATTTGACAATCTCTAAATATATGGCCACCTCGACCAATTATTTACTTATTTTTATTAGAAGAACCTTCTCATGATCAAAAATCTCCATCCATTAGCAATGATGCATATTGTTTTAAGTATTAATCTAATTTTTTTTTGTGGATGTCGCATCTTTTTTATTATATTTAAATCGTTATATACAACCAAAAAGAGCATCTCACTGAAACCACAATATCTATTAAAATTTTTTTACATATATCATCATTACATACTTTTGTTCACCTAAAAGTCTTCTTTTGATTAAAAAAATAAATTCTATGAATAGATTTTGTGACAATGAATTTTACTTATTTTATTATTTTATTCATTTAACTGTTTAACTACTATTTTTACATTAGTATATATATCTTATATATACCCTTATTACTTATTATGAAATAACATTACACAAGACTCACAAAGACACACAAAGACACAAACGATTTCATTATTATGATATTGTTCTATTTTATTATAGAAATGTCGATCATTTTTATGAAATCCATGCACGACAATGATTATTGTACTTGGAGAAAATATGGAAAACCAAAAGCTAGAAATTTCCGATGCATCAAGTAAATGGTACACATTACGTTTTTTAAAAAATGCTCACGTCATTTCTTAAAAATAGTACACAAGTGTTTGTGTTTAATGCTACACCAGCGCAGGGACGATGATTTTTTGCATAGCGCAGAATGCGGGAGTGTGTATTTTAAAAATGGAAAATACTATTACTATAAAAAAGGGAAGTTAATAAGTGTAACACGATGATCGGGAAGTTTTTGATATTTAATTTAGTGCGACGTATTTAACTTTAAAAAGGAGATTTTCAGTCATATATATAGAATTTGTTTAAAAAGGAATTTTTCGAAAAAAAAGGAAATTTCAAGTGTTACGAAAACGATTGCTTTGTGTATATACGTAGATTAACGTTAAGTTGAGCGCTGCCAATTTTTTTTTAAAACGGATGGAAGTATAGATGGGCGTCTAAATTGTTTTTGGGGTTGTCTAAAGTCAAAATAGTATTTAGACAAAAATGTCTAAATGTCTA